CTACTTATATATTGGTGACTACCACTCCAGCATAGTAGCTCGCCTGCCTTCATGTATTTTTCCAAATGAGATGTAACAGTTGCAGCAGTTCTAGATAAACGAGCAATCCAGGTCATGGAGAAGAAGCTTGAAGCAGAGACTTGAAGCAGAGTCACAGTAGTGCTCTAGTTGCCTCTGTCCTCTGTCTTGCTAGTGAAATAAATTAATATGATATTTGCTACACTAAAGAAATGAACTCAGCACCAAACAACAATATTTAAATTACATAGATAGCAATTTGAGACATTGTGTTTGTTTCTTGATTCACTCATTGCGTAAAGTTGGCTTGTACTTTAACTTCTCACTTCCAAGAAAAAAAGATAGTTAAGCAGCCTTTTGCAGTATTATCAGGTAAAGAAATTTTTATATCTAGGGGATATCTAGGCATGAGCAAACCGAACTTCAAGTAGTCCCTATCTGCAATTACCTTTTTCAGGGAAGACCTGATGCTACTTCTGTGCTGATTAACCATATAAAAAGCTAGAATCCACAAGAAATGTACAAACATGAGAATTTTTCAGTCAGTTCTTATTCATCTCAGTTATGTCGTTTAGACTAGCAGAATTAGCCTAAAATACACGTCTGCAATTCATATCGTATTGCTGTTATAAGAAATGGACCAGTTGGCAAATACTGACATATTATTTCAGGCAGGTTTGAAGTGGTTCATTGGAGTTGTTTTCCGTGTTTTCCTACTGCTAGCTAAAAGATGTAGAAGTACAGTTGGTTGGTGTTATGCTAGATAAACAACTGTTTTTACTTAGATAATTTATTTTGAGCATAAGCATCTAGGGAGACAGCTATTTTCTTCTGTTTGCCAAAAGCAGTGACTACATCGTGGCTTTGGCAGATGGAGTATGCTATAAGGTGTTGTTTGTAAACAAAAGAGTTATTGATGGAATGTCACCCACCATATGTTGCCATTGTTTATATAATGTGAAACACATAGTCAGTTCCTGTCTTTGGACAGATTTTCTTGGGAAATAGGGGAARAAGGTCAGACTCATCACAAGCAAAACAATGTGAGTTTTCTTCCAYGGGATTACAGAGAAATAGTAGATCTGCATGCTTGGGTAAAGAAGTCATGAAAGATGGAAAGGAGGGAGATTTGATACCTTTTTCATTGTGTGGCATGCATTACATACAGGAAGAAATGAAGTAGCAAGAATAGGAATAGGAATATATATAGATTAGTTTAAAAGAAAATGTTAGAACTGTACTAGTTACGGATATTAAAATGGAATATATAAGAAAACTATATCTTTAATCTCATCTCTTCAAAATARGGAGTTGCATCTAGTCGTTTTGTTATTTTCAGATCTGCCTCTGTACTGCTGCTAGAATATGCAAATGGCACATTTGCCTATTAGAGAATTCATCTGATTATTGCTGTCATTTTTTTACACTACAGTGATATGTCCAGCCCATTCAGACAAGACTATAGACATTATGTGTAGCACTGCACAACTGTGTGTAACAGAAAGACAGTCCCCAGCACAAGTGTGAACAATGGAGAGTATAACATGGAAATTTCATGGAAAGACATCAATGAATACTATAATCCTAACCTAATCACAATATTTTACTCTCTCCCATCTCCCCAGAACACTTTGTACTTTCCAGTGTGCCACACACAAACCTAGCTTAGGAAAAGTCCTCCTGATGTTCATACTAGTTAAAAAGGAAGTTATGCTCATGCCAATGACTTTTGGAAAGAATAGTATTGTTTTTAGTGACAATTTAGATCACTTAGAATTAACTTTATTTGTGGTATAAATAAGGTGTAATTTCATTATCATATTCTGAACTATCTTTTCAGACACAATCAGTAAAGTGGACTTACAGAATGTAGGAATGGTGTGTTTATCTGGTTGACATAACATAACCTGTGTTTTAGTGATTTACAGCATTTACATTTAAGTTCAAAGTAGACTCAGTGTAGATACTGCAATATCCTCAAAGCTCATAACATCAATTAACACAGCAATATGTTCCTGTCTAGCATCTTTTGAGCTGGTTAGCTTCTCAAGGGATTGAGTTGCATACAAGGAATTCACAAGTTGCACAAGAGATTGAATTTTGTGGTAGGACTCACTGCCTCCTAAGCTGCCCCAGAATACTGCAGATTTGGCACGGTGATGGCAGAGAGACCATGAACTGGCAGAGGCCTGTGGTCTTCCAATCCAGTACCTGAAGTCCAGGCAGAATACCGGAAATGATTTAAAATGGCACCGGCTGGTCTGTGTGTACGCAACTGAATACCAGCCTTTATGTCACATTATCTTTTTCTTTTCTTTCTTAGCATAACATAATTAATGTTGCACGTATTGAGTTCAGTCGGAATTATACAGACTAAAAATAGAAATCATACAGATCAAAAAATCAAAACTATAATTTCAGTATTAATTACTATAAACTGCAAGTGCATATGTTCAGGATACACACTGTCAATAGCTGAATTGAGACAGTGCAAGCATCTCTGCCATACTCCATGCTGTGTCACTTTAGGTCACTCCTGCTTATTCTAGAGCATGGCACATTTGCAAGATTTAGCTGTTGTAAAAATTCTTTCATTTTCTTTCCTTCAACTTCAGAATCACATTAAAATCTTTGAGGGCTACATTTGCAAGTGGATTGAACTTTAGTTTTACTGATTTGGGAAACATTAGTACGTGAAAATCAGATGCTGATTCTGATTTGTGAAATAAGGAACAAAGAGCTAGGCTGTAGCTTGCATAATGCACTCTGGAGATAAACTAGCAAGGAAAATGTGTAAAATCCCTACTGGATTTTAACTGGAGCTTGAGTTTCTATTTTGGAGGACATTATCAGGGCAGACAGATGAGGCAAAACAACTTGAAGTTAAAATATCTTGAACAGATGGACCAAGTTTCTCTGGGATGCATGTGCCAAGTCTCCAAATATACTCTTTAATGCTGTTTGTATAGTGACTTTGGTATTGCCAGTGTGTTCATGATAGCCTAGCACTATTGGCAAAGACAGTAGATGAGAATAAGGCCCAGGGTTGAAGTACTGTGTATACCAGTAGAGTATTGCATGAACCAATCAGGTATTAGGTAATTAAGTATTAACTTCTCTAATTTTTGCTGATTTATGTACAAACTCAGTCTAATATGTAAAGTTTTTGTTGTGATTAAAAATGGTCATTAATCATGGCTAATTTCCAGTGATGCTAATTCATAAAATAGTCATGTAGAACTGCTTATGAAACAGTCATTTGCGGAGGCTTATTCCTGCTGAGTCTGCTGCCTGGATTATGCAGAAACCACTCAGATGGAGTTACCTAGGCAACCCTTCAATTGCTCCTTTTGTGTTCAAATATTACTTCCATCATCATATTTCAAAGCTCAGCATCCTGCTTGGTTTGATTTGCCTAACCCTACATTGTCTACCAGAGGGGAAGGGGAATAGATACGATTTTAAGAAAGTAACCGGCAAACTCCTGCACCTGCATCTGAATGGTCCCCCAGAAAAGTGTCAATAAACTAGAGAAGTGAGACACTGAGCATCTGTCTTCTTTGGTGAAGAGCTGGAAGCTAAAGGTAGCTCCTAAGCTGCTAAGGAGCTTCTTGAAGCACTGTGATTATAATGAATCATGTTCTRTATGTGTTTTAAAAATCTTTCAATGATAGTACCTATCATAACCTCTTCAATTTACTGTCATCTTATGATTGGGAGTTACACAAAGTGTAGAGTTAACAGAATACAGTCTTCTGTTGACATCAGAACATAAGCGTCAGAGCAGCTGCATCCTGGCCCTGTGTCAGGAGGAAAAATGAGTTTGTTTCCCATTGTTGGTGTAAGGTGATAAAGTTGTATAGCTGTATGACTGACAAGTCTGAGCCGAGAGCTGGTCTTTGCTTTTCCAGGGATTGATCGGCTCATAATATATCAACAGCTGAATAGTTCAGGAGTTCATCATTCATCTTTCTGTTATTCTATTCTCTGGGGCAAGTTAGACCTGTGTGCAGTTTGGGGCACATTGTCTAGCTGTGATGTGTGACATGGCTAAATGAGCCAGGAAGAAAAAAAGTGATATTAAAATGGTCTGAATCATGCTCCCTTGACTTTCCTTCTGCAGTAATCTCAAGGGGCTGCACCTCACCAGCAGGCTGGGTGACAGAAAAGGCAAGGGAAGATGAATGTAGCAGCCAAAAGGCTTTCTGTCATTGGAAATGATCACAGTACATCTGCTCTCTAGTGGACATAACACGTGAAGAGCATAACACGTGAAASGAGGTGAAAGATTAGTGTGAAGATCAGCTCTCAGCTACACCAGTGAGGGAGGAATGTCATTTCTTTAGTTTTAGCACCAAGCTGTTAAGAAGACTGCTGGGTTGTGGCAGGTCTAAAGAAGACACATTCTGGCTGCATGTGAGAAAAACATCCTCCCTCAAAGGCAGCCGAGCAGCGGGGCTGGGCGAGAGAGGCTGGGCTGTCTCCGTCCTTGCAAATTTTCAGACTTTATTTTACCAATTGGGCAAAGACCTGAACAACCTGGACTGTCTCCACAGCAGAACATGCTTTGRACAGGGGGAAAATGGGAACCTCTTAAAGTCATTGACAGCCCGRATTGCCTTGTGGTCCTATGAATGAGGAAAAAGTACTTCAATGTGTATTACATGTATATAGGTATATATGCACACATATGTGGTCAGTCTTGATGCAGACCAGACTAGTTTTGATTTTTGATCAAACTATCAATGTCCATGAGAGAGGGTGTGTAGGAAGGCACATCTGAGGCACTAGGTGGATGAGAGGCCACCCAAGGAAGAAGGCCTGATGCTGGTCCCACTAGGAGCATGGATGCCATCAGAGATGTCCTTGACAGGTGGTGCTGGAGGGATATATTGCGGTTACTGAAGTATAGTGGAGTCCTGAAAGTTTTTTAAGCTTATTCATCCCCTTTAATACTTTGTTCACTGCTGTTTTTCTCACAGAATGAAGAAGAGGATGAGGACCAGCCTCTCAGCCTGGCCTGGCCTGACACCCTGCGCAAACARATCACCTACCTGATTGTTTTACCCATTGTTTTCCCACTGTGGGTTTCCCTGCCAGATGTCAGGAATCCTGTAAGTAGCCCTTGTTTTAAATCAGTGTCTTTTGTAGTGTAGGGGTTGCTGAATGCTTGAAGCCAAAGAAGGACCATGGTGGATTTAAGCAGAAGTAAAACTAATGTTTTCTGACTTTTTTTTTTAATGGTTCCTTGTGTGAAGAAGATGCCACAATAGAATTATAGAGTAAATGTCACTCTTCAAGTGGATGCTTATGGGCAAGTGGAAGATAACAGCTCTATGAATATTGCCATTTGTATTAATCAATATTTTATCATACATTGGAAAAGCTCTTAAAACTTTGAGTAGCTTTTACATCTGTGTTTCTCCCCTGAGCATTACTTAAGCAATGAGGAAGTCAGCCCAACAACAATACCATAAAGGGTAAAACTGGAAAGTCAAAGACTAGATTTTCTGTGTTTAAAAGTAATGGTATGCATTATTCTTAAAATGTATATTCTACTAGCCCTGTACAGCAATTCTTATTAAAGGGCGATTTTGTTTCAAGAAGGTGTGACTAAAAATTGAGTAAAGGACACCTTTGTCTTCTATTTGTCGTCCTTTAATTTTCATATTAGGATAGGATCAAGAAGGTTTTCCAAGTGCAGAACACTTACTAATTCTGCCCAAACATGGCTTGAAGTCATGTAAGATGGTTTATTTAATACAGATGACTTACTGTGATAAAGTGTCAAATCCGACTTCTTTTATATTCACATATGCAAACAATAAGAGAATAATAGCTAGGAAAGCTAATGGAAAGTTTTAAAAAAAAAAGAAGTCAGTCACTAAAAGAATCCTTTAGAACTGCTTTAATCTCCTCCTTTTTGAATCAAAAATAGACTTAAACCTCCAGCAGGAGAAGGTTGTGCAATGTGCAAGGTTATAAATCAATACTCTGATTTCTCTTTTTCTTCCATCACATTTCCCATCCCACACAGTGAAAAACTGCAGTTCAGTGACAGAAACAAGCTAAAATAAATGTTTTCATTTGTTTTTAGATAATGGTTTCTCTAAGGGTAGAAACCAACATTTTCTCCTACTTTCTTTAAGCTTTCAAACAGCACTGATAAATATTTTTGTCTGATAATACAAAAGAGCATACTACATGAWTTCCAAGATTATTTATTTCTATATTTATGCCCTCATTATGTTATTCAAAATCATTACTGTATTATTTTTCTTCATAATTTGTTCTAATATTAGCAAGTATTGGTAAGAAATAAATGTATGCAATATTTTGAATTTAAAAATTCTGATGCTGACATTAATGGCCTTTGCAATCTTTTTTCTTTCTTCCTCTTGAAGATTTGTAAATGTCCAGTGTTCAATACTGTGTAGATGAGATTAGTCAGAATAATGGGCTGCGAAAGCCGATGTCTGGTGAATTCGCATACAATATTGTTCACAAAACAATGCAGGCATCCAGGATTGTTCACAAAAAACGATAGTGTGCTGACATCATGGAATTAAAACACTCTGCCATAACATAAGAGATTGGCATATTTGCATGTGCCAGATATGTCACTGGGCAGCCAAGTTTTAAAATTTCATTCACTGAAAGGAGTAGCTTGTTAGACAGGAACAAAAGAGAGTTGCATACTGTGTGCAGTTTGTAATTACGTGCAATAATAACAGAAGAGGTAACAAGCTGTATCAATGTGACAAGCTGTTTGCTGTGAACTTCACTGTCAAAGATTAAACCAGATGGTTGCATCAGCCCTCATGCCCAGCTGTCTAACTTTTCAAGGAAGCTTCATTAGTGTGTTTGTCTCTAAAAGACTCTAGCTTGTACTTGTGTGCATTCCCCTTCCCTTGCCTAAAGAAAACAAGGCCGGGCTGCACAGCTCAGCATATGCTTCAGGAAATAACTTTATGTTTGGTCTCTGAGGCAAAAGTTAAAGCAAATCTCCACCAATGCTTTAGTAGATTTTGTAGGCAGGCTTAACATCCGGGGCCTGGTTTGCAAAAGGGGATAATTTTAGACAGAAATTCTATATCCTCAAAATAGCATGTGAGCATATATAATGAACCCTGTGGGCTAAATATTGATTTGAGAGACCATAAGGTGTTTTGGACATCCTTTTCAAAAATCTGCTGCCCTCACAGAGTCTCCTTAAGTCCCAAAGTGTATTTTATCACAGCTTAGTGGGAAAGTTTTGACACTGTGGACACTTGCACATGGTGTCAAACCATGTACTGTCAAACCATGTACACTTAAAACAAGCTGCACTTAGCTCCAGAAAAGCCAGAAAGACCAGCAAAGTTATTTCATATACAAGACATCTCATTATGAAATTGGTAAAAATACTTGCACCTTTACTATACACTGGAGTACAGATATAGATATTTGCATTTATGAACTGTAGATTATGTATTAGCTCCTATAATTCCTCCAGTGGTTCAATAGCTGACTTGTTTTAGTGTGTGCTTATCATCTCAATTATACCTCAATAGTAAATTCCTGTTTAGAAATTCTTCTATCAATCCTGTTTCCAGAAGCAGGCGTGCTCTGGGGAAATTTCATTGTTAGCCTATCATTGAGATATTTGTTAAAATGATGGATATTTTTACTGTACTAATAGCTCATTTCACCAACGGCTCTACAAGGGCCATAAATACAGCTGCCCACCTCTAACAGCTAGAGCCACCGAAACTTTGATTGGATGTGTGGGTAGAAATCAGAGAGCATCTCCCTTGCCACAGCCACAGGGCATTGCCTCTGCCTTCGTGACCCGGACCAAAAAACCCTCTCTTTGAGCCTGGCACTGTTGTCGTTGGACCCATATAGGGCAGTTATTTGTTCCCATTAAGGACCAAGAGACACGACTAAGGTGAACGTATGGAGACGCGCTGTTGCCAAGGGGACCAGGACACGATGTTCCCTCGTAGATCTAGTTACTGGAGCAGGTTTCTGAGTAATCAGATTTAGCCRCTGTCAAATATGGATGGAAAATCAGAGAAGGCATGCAGATAAATTCATGCATGAGACAAATGTATGATTCATTCAGGTTAAAGGTAAAGATGTCAGTAATGAGACTGGCTAAAATTTAGAGGATTACTTTGTAAAATACTAAACACTCATTATGTTGCAGTGTCAGGCACTCAGGAAAGAAAGAAAGAAAAAGACTTCACTTTTTCAACATACTTCTGTCATGGTGGTTACTTATTTTTTTCAAATTTTTTTCAAATATTGGCAGGAATTCAACACAGAGATGCACCACAATATATGTACTTAGGGTTACTGACGGACAGGATTAATACCAATCCAGCAGATATACAGCGAAGCTACAGAATTATTTTTCTTTTGTTAAATGAAAATAGGATACAAACGGAATGATACATGTTTTTCCCCCATTTTCTGTTCTGTTACCATGACCACAACCGAACCAAGTGGCAGTAAACTGGAGTCTTTGTCTTGGCAAGGCAAAGATCACAGCTCTGAGAGATAGAGAGAAGCATTGCTCTGTGTCGTTTCTGACTAATTCTTGTAGGAAAATGCTGAGAACTAACAGCTCTGCATATTGCCAAGAGCTTGGAAGTTATACTGAGATAAAACTCAAAAAAGTTGTTAGTCATTACAAAAGAAACATGATTACTAATATACTCTGAAAATAAGATGCAGCATCAGAAAATAATCAATAGTCTAATTTGAGCTTTTTGAAGAATAATCATCTTATGCAAATTGCATAGCAGCATCTAAGGAGTCCGTTCTTGATTTCACCTCCTGTAATAGGTACAAGGTTTAAATTTTGGACTTCTTGAGCTTAAATGCTTTCTCTTTTAAAACAGATAATTAAACTGTTAAGTCTATGAAAGTACTCATAACCCTGAACTGCTTCTTATCAGTTAATTAAGCTGGAGGAGAATCAGCTAAGACAGGCTGGGTCTTATACATGCTGCAAAGTTACTGACTCATAATTCCCAGCCATCCAATTCTCCATATTCTGTGGATGTCCAACCTGGATAAGCAATATGTGATTATTTTACAAGAACTCATGCTGATAGAGCATGAGGTTGATGAACAAGATTGGGAAGAAGTGACTGAAATAAGTAACTAATATGAATATATTCCATCATTGGCTGCAATACTACTATATATTCAAATCTTAATGTTGATATAGCAGACAACAAAAAATAAAATGAAGCTATTTTGACATGATACTGACTTCAGATTTTTTTACTAATTTCTCTTCAAAACAAAGCATATCAAATGTGTGTTTCTGCTAATTAAAAACATGAAAACGTTTTCCCAAGAATGATTAAATGCCATATCAAAGTTTAAATGTATAATTTTTAGCTTGGTGCTCTGACAACTGACTGTGAAAACTGATACACAACAAAATTCATGCAAAAAGGACATAAAATCACTCTTAACTATTGGAAAACACTCTTTTTGCTTATGCATAAGGTCATTCATAATCTTTTATTCTGCTAAATATATATGTAACATAAGGGAATGTAATAGGTATATAACAACAGTATAATACATATTCTTGTTGGAAGGTGAATCTTCTCATAGACATAGAATTTATAAGTGAAGCTGATGGAAGAACAAGTCATGGGTAAACATATCAGTAAGGGCAGTAATTTTCTGAAGTTCATGATATTTATTTTGATCATCTGATGATGATCATAACAAATGATTAGAATAGATGATCAGAATAAATAAGAGGTCACCTAAGGAGAGAATAAAAATACAGCACATMGACTTTTAATATAGTTGTTCACTCTTTCCCTTTCTTTCTGTTTCAGAAGTCAAGAAAATTTTTTCCAATCACATTTTTTGGCTCAATCAGTTGGATTGGATTTTTTTCTTACTTAATGGTCTGGTGGGCACATCAGGTAAGATGGTGTTGCACTAGTACAAATTATAAGCCCTGCATTATGTTTTACTCTGCAAGGAATCATTTAGAATCAGAGTCCATCCTCTTCCTCGTGCTGAGCAGCATTTTACGTTAGGAAGAGCAACAAGGAATTAAGTAAATCACTACCCAGTACATGGAAAGTAGATCARAGACTGTGCTTGCCCTCAACATCTGTTTGATCTTTCTGCTGACATCACCACCATAAGCAGCCACTTGTCAATATCTACAGGCCCTTTTTTGACATTCCAACATTTCTTTCCCTGAAACTCATGGAACATAGTGAAAACAAACAATTCTCCAATCATGTCTGTAGTCACTGCACTTCCCAGCTATAATATCAAGTCAGAGATTAGCAGTAGAGTGCAAACCTTCTAGCAGAGAGAATCTAAAGTAGAGAGTGTACACAGAAGAAAGTAAGGTACAGTAGAGAGTAGAGAGTGTTTTCCCACCATAGGACTTCAACATATATTTTTGCTGATTTTTACTCCATGTCTTTCAGGTTGGAGAAACCATTGGTATTAGTGAGGAGATCATGGGACTGACTATTTTAGCTGCTGGAACGTCTATTCCTGATCTAATTACCAGTGTTATCGTAGCACGTAAAGGTCTAGGGGACATGGCTGTGTCCAGCTCTGTTGGAAGTAACATCTTTGACATCACAGTGGGGTGAGTTCTACAGCAAGAAAATTGTGGCTATTTTATTAAAAAGTTTTGTATTCATAACATGTTGTCCTGGTTTTGCCAAGGCATTAACTACAACATTTTTTGCTATTGTTTATAGAATAGAATGATGCAAACATCATTCACTGTGTTATTATTTCACATGTTCAGAACTTAATAGATATTTACATGACAAGCTTGTTATAGATTAATTTGTTGCTYCGTTCTTTGTTTCACACATCACAGAACTGCCCATGCAAGCAAATTATGCTTGGGAAGTAGCGTTCCARGAATAACTTTTTGAAGTCTTTTATGCTTCTATCAGGCACTTTATTGCTGTTGTTCACTTATGTTTCCATTCACTGTGCCTATTTTAGAGCTTTCTTTATAATTGCAGATCAGAGAGCTATTCACTGCCTCTACAGTGTCCAGCAGGTTTGCTGTGAAAATAAACAGAATGTCACTGACTTGCCTAGCTTTTMTAAGCTGTTGTTGGCATATGATTTTTTAATAAACCTGGAAAAACCCAAATTGCAAACCAGTTCTCTGTGAACACTGAGGCTCCATTGTGTAGCTCTGACAATATGGAGCAACATAAGACTGTGCAGAAATGAGCTACTTTTATATTTTACTGCATGCAGGAAGCCTTTATATCTGCTGCAGACCATAAAAGCTTCACAGCAGCATGAGAACAATGATGCATGCCTCAGTATTTCAAAAGTGTGCAGGAAATTTTCAGCCAAATTCTGTCCTAATGCCCCTTCAGCATAGGAGAGAAGCAAGGGGAGTCATATGCATCACCTTAGTTTCTCAATTCAGTTATATCTTGCCATTGTAYATCTAGAAGAACAGATCCTGCATCATGGTTTCAGCTACTGTAAATAAGCCAGCAACATTATTCATGCAAAATGGGATCCCAGGGTTGGAGTGGATAGTAAATGGCTCTTTACKCCACTTGTTAGTTAACAGCAGTAGTTTTGGGCACAGCTGAAGAGCTGGGCAATTATTTTATATTAATCCAGAAACCTAAACTATTTTTAATAACATTTATAAATAAAAATGAAAATATACGAAACATTATTGACTGCCCAGTACCTCAATTTGAAACATGTAGGATGTGTTGCGAACCATTTGACTTTTGCAATGTTTTCTTTTTTCCTTAATATTTTTAGTCTTCTTGCCTAAGGAAATGCATACTGTCCCATAGCATATTCTGCTAGACCTACTGTCTTTACAGCAAAAATGGCACAGCTCAGCTGTGGCTGTGGTTTAGTTAGCTCTGCGGCTGTAATAAATTATTCTCCCTTGAGCTGCTTATTCAGTTTGAATGATGTGAGCTGCTGACAGCTCCTTTTATGCATTCCAAGCCTACTAAGCGCCAATCAGTAGCTTAAATATTTATTTCAACTTGACATCTTCCAGAGGGATGTTGCCTCATACAGTAGCATCAGAGCTGGGAAGTGCAGCAACAGCAAGCATAAAAATAGAAATCAAGCTGAAGTTCAATCAAAGTTTATATGCAAGCATGAATCAAGACACTTAAGGGCCAAAGTTTAAGGGCAGCATCTTGTGGAGAGCTAACAGTGTGCAGGAAGGATCTGCCAGGCACCTTCCACTGTCAGGCAAGCTCTTGGAAAGAGATTCCTCTGTGGATGCTTTGAATCCACAAGCTAATGAATGAGGACTTCTGGCCCATAGGCAAGAAACCAGGCGATTTCTGCCAGCTAGTGGAAACATCTGCCCATGGCAGCTGGTGGAGGAATGATGGGGAGTGCAAATTCCGCAAGTTCTCCGGGGAACCACATGCAAAGTGACAAATGAGATTTATGAAATTAGGAGTTTCGTGCTCCACCTCATGCATGAATCCTGTGGTTCAAATGGCCAAAGCAGGTGAGAGAGGAGTGGCTGGGGAAATGTCAGTGATGAGCAAACACTGAGTGACCTTCAGAGRTTAGGAAATTACATGGAAGGAGCATTTGGTTTCCCGGTATCCCCATATATCTGAGTAGCCCACCCCTCTTCTGCACTTCTCATCTGTCCTCAGTGCACCAGTTGGTGTCCAGGTGTCTGTGAAAGATGAGAAGCCTTTCTCTGATGCTCAGATGAGAGGTCTCAAGTTAGAGCATAGTGTGTGATCTAACATCCTGTAGCTGTTCAGAGAGATGGGTTTCCCTGTCTACCAGCAAATATCTTTGTATTTTGAAGTGCTTTCAGAAGCTTGCTAGTGCCCTTTTTTCATCTCTGCAGTGTTTCCAATTTATTTTTTCTGTTTCTTAACAGCCTTCCTCTTCCATGGCTCCTGTATGCTGTGATCAACAGCTTTGCCCCAGTGACAGTCAGCAGCAATGGTTTGTTCTGTGCAATCGTCCTGCTCTTCATTATGCTGCTCTTCGTCATCCTCTCCATTGCATTCTGCAAGTGGAGGATGAATAAAATATTGGGCTTTCTTATGTTCGGGCTTTATTTTGTGTTCCTGGTTGTCAGCGTCCTCTTGGAGGACAAAGTGATACAGTGTCCTGTCTCCATTTAGTGGAAAGTGCTGTTTCTTGAAGAAAAAAGCATATATATATACTCGAATACATATATATAACATACATAAATGAAGCAGCAAAAACCCACAATGGAAAGCTTCTATGGGAATAACCAGTGGATTTGTAAATCTCCTATCCCTCAATTTCAAAAAGAAGAATGGATGAAATCCAAAGCAGAAGAATGATTGCTGCTGGACAGTGCAGTTACCTATGAAGGACTGAGGTTTCCKCTGTTTGCTGCAAGACATCCTCAGTGCTCCCTAATGGAGATGCTGTGYATGCTTGGTAACAGTGAAAAAGCTACAGCATCTTCATTGCCTGTGGTCCCATCCATGAACTTCTCTCCCTCTATAGTAATATATACAGACACACAGCGTAATCAGTATTTAAGACTATAATCTTCTAAAGAGAATGCTAGCATCAGCTTTGGGGATGCAATCCCTGCCTCCACCCATTGCGGGCAGGGATAATCTGATAATATGCTGGCACTCTGAGTGGAAAGCAGAGACCAAGAGCAAGAGTCAAAGAGAGGAAGATCTTGCACATCTCTTCATTTAAGTGGATTTATATGATGTGACTTCAGGAAAGCCAAGAAGTTCTTCAATATTTTGCTCTTTTGCGTCACAGGTCTCTAATGGCAATTGGCAAGATGTAAAATGATGGTTTATTACGTCTTGCAAAACTCTTCAGGTTCTAGAAGCTCCAGCTTTACTATTAATGGGGATATGAAGTCTGGCCATTTTGCAACTGGTGCATATTTTCTTATGTATTCACACGTGAAGCCCAGACTGGGGATTTGCTGTCTTCTCTAGTATCAACCCAGCATGCAAAGAGATCATACAACTACTGCGTGGACTCACTGTTTTTTTTCTAATGCAGCAATACTACCAACAGTACCAATATCTCTCTGATGCTGTTACCGTTAAGAATTTGCCTTTTCATGCCAGAAAAAAAAAAAAAAAGAGAGAAAAAAAAAGGCTAATTTGCTTATGCATAGTATTTCATACAGAATATAGAGGTAGTTGTAATGTGGCAGCCTAATTGCTGAAGTGGATATATATTTTACAGGCTATCTTCTACCACTACTTGCAGCATAAGGACCTTCACAGCTATATATAGTCATCACTGGAGGAGATCCCCAGCTGATGTGCAGAGCTGGGATAGTTCATTTTGGTTTGTGTAAATCTTGATACTAGGTAGGAAACACTGACAGTTTAAATATAGTGGAGTTGCAGGAAGCCTACATGGAAAACTTTCAGTGTTGCTGGAAGCATGAATTCTGAAGCTGCCCTGAAAGGAGTGAAAATGCAATGTTCTCCTACCAGAAACCTGRGAGAAGGAGACTCAGAACAATAATGTCAGGAGAGAAAATAGAGAAGTGCTCACATTTACTATGGTTTGGGTGATTGCAAAAAAAAAAAAGAAAAAAAGGAAGAAAAAAAGGAAAACTGGAATGGATATTACAAAATTATTTCAGATAATGGCTGTCTATTTGTTCAAGTCTTTGTGTGCAGTTAGAGTTCATGAAATTTCCGCATGTATCTGTGACCCGTTTTAGAGCTGTTTTGTATTCGTTATTGCTCTCACAATGGCAATGCCGTGCTCACAGCTGTGTAACAGAAGGCTCAGCACATTTTGTCTCGTCTTTTTCTGATGCTGTCACCACGCTTTCCTGCCTGTGTTTCATGCGTTTGCTTTTCATTCAGCCTCTTTGTCCTTTACTGTGTTCCTATTATATGTGTTTATAGCTGTGTATAACAGTATCTGGTTAGAGTGTAAGGACTTGACAGAAAACAACAGTAGCACAAACAGTGAGAAATACATATTTAAAATTACATCAATGTTAATATTATGAGATTACTATGAAAAAGTACTAATGCTAATACTACTGATTGATGCTGATACTAATGAAGAGAAGCAAGAAAATTAGTAGTTCCAGTATGTACTATTCATTCCATGTTCTAAGATGTTAAGTCCTAGGTACAGGAATACATTCAGAACCAAAATCTTAACCACACACTTGCAACATCCCTTGCTTTTTTAGTGTGAGCCTCTCTCCTTGTGACCAGAAATTCTTCTATGCATTCTAGAACCTCCATTCTCCACAGTCCTTGCCAATTTTAACTGTAGTGCTGCTCACCTCTTAAACATTTGTTTCTATGGACGTACACAATGGAAAAATTGTAAATGCGTACCTACAGTGCCCCCTGCTGAAAAGAATAGCAAATCTGCAAAAGAAAATGCATAAAGCAAATCCCAAACTCAAATGAAATGTCCCTGCTAGGATTCAACAGGTGTCCTAAAAAACAGAGCTGGCTCCATGGTATAATCTGTCCCAAGGAAGTCACCAAATCTTTCTTAGCTCTGGTGACAGTGTTGGAAAGGGAAGCAGGGTTAAGAAAAATAAAATGTTTCAGTTTTACCCAAGATGCTCTTTCCCCAAATGGGACAAGTAATGTAGGCTGACCTAAAAGAGTGTGATGTGATATTTTGTGAGTGGTGCACCTCTAGGGTGGTGTGTTGTTGTGGTCCCTCTCATTACGTGGAGATGCCCAGATTCACAGCTCTGATATTCAGAAACAAGAAACCCAGGAAGGGCAAGAGCCTGACCTTTGCTCCATGCATTGTTCTCGTTTTGTTTTGTTTTCAACATTAATTTTATGGCCATCACGTGCACAGCATTTGTTAGGCTACTGCAGCTTTGCACCTACAGCAGATTTACCTATGGCCAAAATCGTAAACTTTTTCAGTAGCGCCACTTTGGTGTTACCTCTAGGAAGTCAATGRCTGTGCTCCTGGTGTTTCTCATAGCTCCTAAGTGTTTCAATGTTGGAGCCATGCGTGTTTCTGAATACTATACACCTAGAAATCAAACCAAATTTCTGTTTTGCTCCTTCAGGTAAAGTTCTGAATGACTTCAATAAGAATATGGTCCTGCCAACAAGCTAAATTCTGCAGTGAGCTAGTTAATGTGGAGGTTAGTGTGTAATTCATATAGAAATGGGTGTTGCAATTAAAATCTGTCTCTTGTTTAATGTTTTCAGGATACACCCAGATGTGCAACAGAGTAAGTGAGATAAGAGCACATGGTAAGATTAAGTAGCACCACCACACCTGAATAGAACCAATACTGGGCATCATTTCTGGAAGAGATTTCCAATAGTACCTGAGTAGGATCATAGGTAAGATTACATAACCTGCTGTTGATGCCCTCTAATGTCTCCATGGGAATTACAGCAGAGAACTGGCCCCACATTTGTAAAATACCATTAAAGTCCAAACAGTATTTGCTATTTTATAAGAAAAAGCATCTTCTGTGGAAGACGCTATGATGGCATCTTCTAGGTAGATGGTATCAAAGTGTTAAAAGGGTGTGATGCAAGGAAGATCCCTGAAAAGATGAGATGGAAAAATCTTTTCAACAACAAAGTTCTGGGTAATTCAATTGCAGCTTTTTACTGAGAGCTAGTACTTTCCTGTAGTGCAGACAGGCTCTTAGTGCCTCTATCCCTGTGCTTATTTATTCAATTGATCTTGCTGTCTACATAAACCTGAGAAGCATAAAGCACAGTAGGTGACACAGAAACTTTCTAAATGTCATCTGACATTTATAAGGGCAATGAACCCATCCTGTAATTTTCCACATATCTACTCTCTAGTATTTTATGGTCATTGTCATTCATGGTACTGTTGTGTGCGGGTAAGAAAGTCCATAAAGAAGTAGGTCAAACGTGATTTATCCAAGTACTGTAAAAAAGATACTGAGAAATATTGTTAAAGTTTGGGCATTTTTCAAGGGATTATTCCTCCATCTGTCATTTATGCCAATACAATATTTCAAGAAATAGGGGATATACAATTTCTTTATGATTCTCTTTTCAACAGTAATTCCTTAAAATAGCAGCCTATGGTCCATACTACATATGCTCTGAATCAAACATGAGCCTGTATCGAATTGATTTATTTAGTCTATAACAAYGAAATAATCCCTTTTCCAACCAGTGAAGTCTGGAAGATTTCTGCCTCTGGCTTTGACGACATCCAGGTTTTTATTCTGCCATACAATATTTCTTAAAAGCACTCATGTAACAAACCTAATTGTCCTGAGAGCTGTGTACAAGGAGAGTAATTGCTTGCACTTGTGTTCTTGGAAACCGCTTTACCTCTTATAAATAACAATGACACAGCAAACGCAGAAGGAGGTATGGTTTGTTCCTCCGAGGGGTTGGTTCTGGAGAGACCCGCCGGCACGAATCGTGGCCGCAGACCCACAGCCAAGCTGTGCCAAGCGGTACCTTCATGCGGATTTGCTGTAAATTCACCCCCTCTCCAAACAGGAAGCCAGTCTCAGCTGAAAGAAATTTCTATGTTTTTAAATGTCTTGCACTTTACTGCTTTTTTTAACCATTATCTTATGCCACATAGTTGTCTTAATGCAAAGAGAAGCCATAAAAAAAAAAAAAAAAAAAAAAANAAAAAAAAAAAAAAAAAAAACACCAAACCCAAAACTAGTTCAGGGTTTCTAAATGGGGGATAATAGTTTTAAAGTAAAGACTCCACATCGCATCTTTGTTTAAGGTAAGGTTTAATGTAAAATACCATCAAATATCTGTAGAGTAAAGCAGGATATAGTTTTGCCTTAGTGAAGTTTTAAGTAAGACAGAGGGAGTTTGCTCATTCTCCCAAAATTCCCTGTTTGACTGTRGAAAATGGTCCACACTGGCTTTGCCATGGGGCTCAACCCTATCGTCCTTGTGCACCCCAAGAAGAAGGAATATAGCCCAGCAATGCAATTAAGCCATCGTGTTGCTSTAATGTTTTCTCCCACTCACATCAGAGTAAATTAAACCCCTCCTACTTTAAGTCTATAAAAGCTGATCCTTTGCATATTTTTTTACAAAAGAGTTAAAGCTTTTAGTGTCAGACCATTGGGTTAAAATCCAGCAGTTCAGTTAATCACCCATCAAAATTAAGATTGTGGTCATGGTCATGATGGTCATGTGAAAATAGTAGCAGCTTGTCATAACTGGCAGATGCTATTTTTCTAAAAAAACTTTTTAAACTTGTTTAAGTTCATAGTTTTCGTACTCTCCCAGCTCTCATTTTCAATATATTGTAAGAAAAATCTGAAGTCCTCAATTTTATTTATTTCAAAATAAATAATTAAATAAATAAATAAATAAATAAATATTGCAATGGAAGCCAGTCCAAACAATCCTAAGAAAATTCCAGGATTTTTTTCATGCGTGTGTATGTATGGATCATACTTCATTAGATGAAACCCATGTATCTCTTAGCATATTCCTTGCGAATACAAGTCTGTATATAATAGGGAAGCTATATTTATTTGTACATAGGCTCTTGATAATAAGCCCTTCTATCAAAAGTCCTGCTATAGCTACAGAATATTTCACTGTGGTGTATACACTTTTTCACGTTAATATATAAACCTTATGTTACTGATACTGAGCTCTTCACATAACTCACTTCATGTAATCAAGTTGTTTAAGTGTGACTAACAATGACAACAATAAATAACAATAAAAAGGACTTAACCGTGTGTGATTTTGTTCAGTATTTTCTGTTTTAATTGTTCTGGACTTGCTACAGCTATGGAAGTGTTTTTCTAAATACCTGCTCAGGTTTGAAATGTGGTCTGCAAAGCCACACTTCTTTAAGTAGCACTTAGGGCCTCTTGCCAYATCACTGTGTAAACACAGGGGAGGAAAAACAATATTCCAGAGGAGCTGAAAGCTTAGCTAATGTGGGCTTTTCCCTCTACAGCCCCATGTGAAACAACCAGACCAAAGCCCAAAGCTTCCGTGAGCCACACACATACCTGCACTAAGTCTCCTCATACATTTCCTGACTGAGACTTGCTTGTTCACAGGTGCTTTGAAAGGTGCTCTCCCCCTCACTCCTCAGGCTGCACAGTCTCTCCTCCTTAGCAGCCAGGATGTTTGGCTTTGTTTCAGTTCAAGCAGACCTAATAAATAACAGAAAAATGTTCTGCTGTCTGCTATGTGCAGCCTCTGCACATTTGTGTGATAATATCTGATCCACCCCTCAACTTCAGCCACTCCTAGAAGGAGAGGAAAGGGCTTAAAATCATTCATTTCCACAGCAGACTTTGATGGCATGTGATAAGTGCAGAGCAGGGAAGGGGAGAAAAAATGCATTGAATAGCCTCTTTGACCCTGTCCACACAAGTGATGGAAAATTTCCTGGATGTGTTTATCCTGTTACATGGGTAAATACTTCCCTGTCTCCTGAAAAAAGAGAGATCACTGTTCCCTCATTGTTACATTTGCCTTTGCATTTATGATGACCATTGACAAGGAGAAATCAGATGTAATGTGTTGTTAGAACTATTTAATCTCTCCTCTAAAGGACTTCGGAAGCTGCCTGAGCTTCCCTGTAAAACATGACCCATGAATTCCCTTCCTGTCAAAGAATACTGAGAGATAGACTATATTATTATCTATTATTACCTATTATTATAAACACACCTTTAAAGAGACGTGTCAGTTGACTCTTCCTTTCCTATTGGTGCCAATTTCTTCATGTCAGCTTGGATAATTTATGAATTTTTTTGTGAGCAAGGGGGCTTTTTGGACAAGGTCATAGATTAGGATTAGACCATAAATCTATATATTCCTTCACAGACCTCTACCCAGCTGAAATTGTTTCTTGCATGTTAATGCTAGAGGATCATAGGCAGCAAATTTCCCAGCAYCCCCTAAATAAACTTTAAAAACTGAGAGCACCAAATCAGACATTTAAACAAGAGATTGATGGGGATCTTTGAATGAAACAGAGGTGTCACACAAAGCTTTGAGTGGCTTGGAACAACTTTTCACCTGCTTACAGGCGACGACAAGGAAATACTAGCCCTCCATGACAACTTTCCCCTTGCTGTGTTGCCGCAGCGCCGCCAGATAATGTGCATGGCCCTCGTGGCACAGGGACAAAACGGGTCTGGGACGAGCCAAGCTGCCTGGGTAAGGTGTGAGGATGTGTTTCTGTATGCCGTATTGTCCAGGAAAACATACCTCCTCACTGGAGTTTGAATTTGGTATGGTTTTCCAAGTAGGTAGCAGAGAACTGGGCAGGAAGGGAAAAGCCTGAGGAAAATCTGATAAAAATAATTATCAGTTATATCTTATTTCTAAAAGCAGACCTAACAGATTGCTTTCCTTCTTGTCTCTCTATAGCCAGGTTTATGATATTGTGAAACGAAGATACAGTTTTGTGTACTATTTTGATTCGGCAAAAGCAAAAAAATGCTAACATCACATATCCACTGCCTTTTTTTAGTTTCTGACTTATGAAAGGAAAGGGAAAACATTTACAGAATTCTGGAGCCCCTGACTCCACATGAAGTCCAGTTATACTTTGTTATCATTTGTGCTATATCTGCCCTGATATTATTCCTTATTGACAGCAGGATTTCATCTCTGATAGCAATGGTCAGCTCTTGCTAATTTGCTATTGTGGTTTCATGACTAAGAGGATTTCAGCATGATTTTATGCAGTTAGGAGATACTGCCAACCAGAGCTACCTCAAGTTGTATACCTGGCAACTTGCAAGGCCTAAAAAGAAATTAGCTTGGGTATGGGAAACACTCAAAAACATGCCCTGTTGTTCCACATTTCTGTCTCTTTCTGTCATGCAGGTGAGTAAACCTGTTTTTCCATTGTATTTTGTAATTACTTCAAAAACAAACAAACAAAACGCCCACTCTTCCTAAAATCCAATTTCCTTCCCAATCAGAACAGCAAACGATTTTCAGCAAAGCTCTTACCAACAATTGACTGAAAGCAGAAATTCCCCAGCATATTATTAATACACACTTCTCTTTCCCTAAAAAAACAGTTCAGTGGGCAAATACCCACTCAGTATCTCAGCAGGCACCTGTGCCGCTCTGGTCAACCAAGCTCTGGGAGAAGCACAGCTCTTGCTCATGGAAAAGAGCAGCATAGAGGTCAATGTCAGTGCAGTACTTCTTTGGGCACACCGCAGGCACTGCTGTGCTCCAGCCGGGCCAGCTTGGCACTGCTGATAGTGGTGTTCAGTACCACTTGTGAGGGTCAGCTGCGCAAGCAGCAGCAGGCATCACGGAAGGAAAAGAGAGCAGCCAGCCCAAGCGATGCCCTCAGCTGTTTGGCAGCAGGGTTCTGCTCCAGGCTGAACACTGGTAAAAAGGCAACACAACTCACGTGCACCAACTGTTTCACCCACCACAGTGAACTCCTACCACTGGTGACTCACAGAAGGGAAATAAACAAGCCAAAAAACAATTTATTGGCATAATGCTCCTGTGATATGTGCTCTGGCTTGGCTACAGCTCAGCTAACATCAGAGCCCAATGCASAGTCTTTTCAACAGATACCTCTGTTGAAAAAGCAAAAGCAGCAAAACCGCAAAGCTCCAGGCTCTGCCTCAGGCTGAGCGTGCAGGGGAGCCGGCAGCGTGATCTGCAGAGAGATGTCAGCCCCAGACAGGGACACGGGAGGAGGGAGGGACGGGGCTGAAACACAAGTAGATCATGTCCTCATTGCACACAAGCCGCCTCATCCGGATTAATATCTGGCCCCTGTGTGGCTGCTGAAGCCCGCACTTTCTTGGAATTACATCTGCACCAAAGTGTCCGGCAGCGGGAGTGCTTGTGGACAGTGATAAACAACCTCATCCCTGGCAGCAGCAAGGAGATAATGATAAAATCCCTAATGCAGAAGGCAGAGATGTGCAGCCAGGGCAAACACAGTAAGCAGAGTGATACACGTCGCTGTGTCCTTGTTCCAAATTTATACTTAGCAGTAAAGCAGCTGCTCTCCCCCCTAGTCAAGATCCCTGATGACCTCTTCCTTGCAGCAAAAGCATCATCGTCTACGGTAATTTCAGTTCTGATCATTGCAGAAAGAGGACAGTGATAGAGGGAATAGATGGTGAGATTACATTAAACACCGACTGCATCAGGAAAGGGCAGTTCTCTAAAAAAGCTAGTTTTTCTAAGTTTTCATGAGGCAGAGAGCAC